AGTCGAAAGCTCTTGAAAAGTCTATGAAAAGACCCAGAGCATATTTTCCCCTATCAAGATTGTCTACAAGACATTTTTGAAAATTACACAGAACAGATTCTGTGCTCATATTTTCACAGAATCCATGTTGATTTCTGGATAACAGTCTCTGACTCCACAGAAATGATGAGAGTTGATTAGTGATGTTCATTTCAATGAGTTCAGAGGAAATTGACAATAAACTGATCGCGGCAGTCATCTGTTTGCCATTATCATCGTGAATGTTTATGAGTATATTGTTTTTACAACGTCCTTTCAAATTATTAATGATTTTCCATACTGTTTTTGATTTATTATTTGCTTTCATTATCGAATCATCATTATATCTTTTCTTAGCCTCTGACAATGCATTGTAGTAGCGTTTCCGTAGCTCTGCTCTTGGTTGATGATATATTGGGTAAAAAGTTGATAATTCAGAGTATGAAATAATAAACTGTCACACAAGTGACCTATTTCATATATCAGCATGATTCAGAATTTTGAGATTTTCTTCAGAAAATTCTTCTGTATTTGCTTTATCTTTAGCTCTAACAAGTTTTTGAGAATTGTCTTTCGTAGGGGGGCGACAGCTGGTTAACGGAAAAACAGATTTTAACAGTTTTTTTTCAACAGATATGGCTTTTTTGTTTCACTTTGTATCTGTTAGATACATTATCATCATATGTCATAAAAAAAATACAGAACTGTTCTTCCTAAACATTCAATATTAGAGTTCAGTCATTATTACCATATTTATTATCTATAATGAGCACTTTTGCAGATATCCCTGTTATTCAAGATTTACCAGTTGGGGTCGAAATGTACGACCATCCCAGCTTTCCTGGAGTGATGTTTCGGTTGAATGAAAGTATAGATATACATACAGGTTTACTGAAAGATTTGATAAATCCTTCCACGTACCATCAATATTTCAAAGAATCTACAGGTATACTGACAACGCTAGGTGAGTAAATCTTCTTAATGCATTATCAAAACGGAAAAATGTAGACATTTTCATATTTTGAAAAATTGCACTCTATTCCAAATTACATAATATATAATCAACCGCTTCCAAAATCTGACTTCCGGAGATTTCGAATAACTAGTTCAGGAATGGACAACTGACGTCCCGCGGGCCGCTTGTGGCCTGTGTCCTTGTTTTTGGCAGCCCCTGAACGACTTTGAAAAGTATTAGATATTTTTTAAANAAAACTGAACGGTGCACATATGAGTTTTACTATATCAATTTTTTTGGGAGGGTACTATTTTAAATGTTTATAATGAATAAAGAAAATTTATTTTGAGAAAATTCAACTGGTCGTTTTCTAAATACTATTATGACATCGAAACTCCGAAACATGAAACCTTTTCTGTAAATCATTAAAATGTATTTTAATGTTAGTTGAAAGAAGTCAAGAGGGCATACAGATTTTTTTTTTGGGAGGAGGGCTAACCTTGGAACAATGATATTAGAGAGATGAATTTGTAAGATTTTGATATGATGGAATCCTTTCAGGTTCCACACTTCATTTGCCAGTATTTTTGAACTATAATTGAGATGGAACCAATGTATTTCTGACAATGACATCTATTGAAAATTATAAGTAATCAATATTGCCTATCTAAATTTATTTTTGCAATGTGTCCTTATGTAGTAATCAGTAAACCCAACAACATTATTTTATTTTATTTTAACAAGCTATACAGTATGCTATTTGGTATAGGTCCGTCATCGTTATTCATAATAACGAAACACGACACGAAACACGTGTCGAGGTGTTAAGATGAACGATTTGGTGTTGGGAAAAAACTCCAGTGATATACGAAGTTTTATAATTACTGCTGACACCCTCTTTGTGTTTTGGTAGTATAACCAGGGAACTAACTCCATAATGAATATTTAAATTATCATTCTGTCGAAGCCGCAATGAAGATACTAAGATGGAGAATGAATTTTGATTTTGTTATTCAATCCATACAATTCTACAACTACTTTTTGTCATACTTTGTCATTAATTTGTTCAGTGCACTGGTCTTACTTAGAGTTGCAGCTTTCAGAATTTTCTACCACCTTTCACAGTTCTTACAAGGAAGTTTTTTTAGGAAGAGTTTAGATGGCTCTTCTTAAAACTACTAATCATTACTTATGAGAATCAAGTAATTAATGATAATAATAATTGTTTTTATTGATAGGTATGGAGAAGAATGTACAATATATACAACCCACCCACGTACCTATCAAAAGGCAGAATTCAATTTCTGATCTTGTCACGAATGACTCAATCAGAAGTTGCTCTTCCATTCAACATCGAAAAAAATAAAAAATATTGTACCTACATGCACAACATACGTAAATCCTAGATTTCAGTGCCAAATGCACCAGAATCATTTCTGTTAGTACTAACAACAATAAAAGAAATGTAATGAAAATAAAACTGTATGAAATGCTCATTTACATCAAAATTATTTTATTAATAAAGGAGTTGAGGCAATTTGTGTGTATGCGTTTTGTAGTGTCTGTATTTTCTTTCTATCAGATAAACGTGATTTCATCAACAACACCTTATGATTTGATCTCCACAAAAAGTTTGTGAAGATCAAATCATTAGGTGTTGTTTATGAAATTACTATGGATCTTCATCAAGTAATGGCCGATTCAATCAGAAGAAAGACAAACGTAACACTGGGCCATATACTCTGCATAGTTGGCGTGAGAGAGAACTAGGGCATCGCATAATATCTTCTTCGATGTTTGATTCAATAACTTCCTATTTGAGTATATTGATTTCAAATCACTATAGCCACGTTTTTTAATTTAGGAGACATGAGAGTTGAACTTGAAGGATTGGTCAATTATGAGACCAAGATTTTTCGTAGAATCTGGCAAAGGCAACTGATGCTCGTCTAGAACGATATTGATATTTCTCTTACATCTTTTCCTCATTGCTGTTCGACCAAATAGCATTACTACTACTAACATTACAGGCAGTGAGTGAAGATTTTAAATCTGCATTTATTTGCTCACAAGCAAGTGCTACAGAAGATTTCGAAAATCGTTTATAAATTTGGGTGTCACCAGCGTAGTTATGAATTTCGTACTTAGCATGTTATGTTTGTGTTTTTTTAATTTTTATTTTTCCCCTGCTATGGACATTGTATGTTTCTTGGGGAAATAAATTATTATTATCAAGAGACACTTTGGAAATTGGAAAGTGTGGATTATGAAAAGCGTGGGACTGAGAATTGAACCTTGAGGTACCCCTGCAGATATATTCGAGAAACTTGACATAGTTCCAGCCAAAGTTACGCATTGGTACCTTCCATTCAAATAGTTATTTATCAATGCAGGAGAAGAGTATGAGAAACCTATATAGTTCAACAGAGCTGTGAGAAGGCGGTGACTTATTTTGTCGATTGCTTCAGAATAATCTATTGAAACAGTGTTAATTTTCAGTAGGGCATTCGTGCATCTATGACTGGATTTGAAGCCCTCCAGATTTTTTCAACTTCTGAATACAATTTGATCATGAGTACATGGATAAATGAAGTGATCGACAGAAAAAATTCAATCTTAATGACATGTTATGTTTACTTTCTATTCACTATATTAAAAACATTGTTTATTCCACAGATTTTTCCAATGTTAGTTCATCCAAAATCCAAAGGGCACATGGAACTGAGATCTAGAGATCCTTTAGATTCGCCTAAATTCTACGCAAACTATCTTTCAGATCCTGAAAATCATGATGTCAAAGCTTTCATATATGCGATAAGAGAAATACAAAGAATCAACAATAGTCCATCTATGCAAAAGTACGGAGCAAAAATAGTTGACACGAAAATACCAGGTGGGTATAGAATTTGAATAACTTAAATGATAACATTATATCATCAACACTCATTATTTCGGATTGCAATCAGACTCGTTCTTATTCACTACAATGGGGTTATTCTGCAAATTTTATGATTTGTTATTCTGTAATTTATCTAGTGTTATATCGCATTTTTTATATTTTCTGCAGAATAACCATTACATAAATTTCAAGGCCATTTCCGTGTTAGGAATCACACGTTAAAAGGTAAGACCTCGTTAGTCCTTAGCTCGCATAAGTTTCTCAACTTCTGAGAGTTGTCGTTCGTATGGGGGCGGCAGCTGATTAACGGAAAAACAGATTTTAAACAGATTTGCCCAATATTTCTTTGGCTAGACGTTGACTTCAACTCTAAAGGTATTGTCTGAAGTAGTCTTTCTCAAAGTAGACGATAATGCCCCCTTGTGGCCGCTGGAGGCCTATAGGGAGGCAGTTTAGGGCACAGAGAAGATTGAGGGCGTGGAAGCGGGTTAGGGAGGCGATGGCTTTTAACACCAACTTTACCGCTCCTGTACGCTTAACGCGCGTTTCCTCGTGTAACGCCATCTAGGGGACTAGATAGTAACTATTCCCTGTCCGATAGTTGTCAAACTGTACAATAGATGGCGGTAAACTTTAATGCAAAGCGAGAAGTTTCTAGTCTCCGTTCTGGGAAGTACTAGGCCCGCCCGTTGCCTCATATAAAAGCGACGGACTACGAGCTTCCTACAATGTCTCCTTGCTAATTGTTCGAGCAGGTGAACTTCATACTACTTTGCTCCATAAACCAGCGGCAGATATTATCCGAAAAATTCCTTTGAGCAATAGTGCCGTGCAAAGACGAATTGATGAGGTGGCTGAAAACATTGAAGAGTCATTGTGCAGTCATCTGAAGACTTCTAAATTCTCAATTCAGTTAGATGAGTCCACTTTACCAACCAATAAAGCATTATTGTTGTCATACGGTCATACCGGGTATGAATTGAATTAATATTTTTTTGCTCCTCATGAAACGCACTGACTGAGTACAAAGACATAGGGTATAGAGAGTCATCGACCAAATTCAAACCGAAAGATGAAAGAGTTCGGTAACTAGCATACCTACAAACCGACCATGATAGCTCAACTTTTCAAATGTTTGGTCATAAATATATTTTGCTCCTCAAAAACGCAGTGACTGAGTACAACGAGTCAGCAACAAAATTTAAACCGGAAGTCGAAAGAGTTTGGACACTGTTAAAGCAACAAACCGGTCATGCTAGCTTAACTTTCAATTTTTTTGTTAGAAACTTAGCATAATGATTTATTGCTGTTCCTAAAATGAAATGTCTGACTACAGAGACTCAGCGGCAAACTTAATACCGGAAGTCGAAATATTTCAAATTTCAGTCAGTTTCACGCTATCTTAACGGAAAACTAGTACTGTTGTCGATTTTTAGCGGTTCGAGCAACAAAACTAACGTTCTAGCAACTGATTAGCAACAAAGAAGCAACAAATGTTGGGTTTATTTTTTTTACCTCAGTTAAATTCACACTAGTACCAGTTTTTTACACTTCAATTTTAACGGCAAATCACGATTTATCGAAAGAGGCTGGCAAGCTGTCGCCTCTAAAGACCTCATGCATTCATATTAGAGATTCAAACATTGAAATATTTTCATCATTCTCCTGAAGTTTACATACATATCTACGATAAATAATCAGATCACCAGAATGAATCAAATTTTCATAATATCACCAATTTTGTAATTTAAATAAATAATTCGACTCAAATAAGAAATTTGCCCCTCTTAGTCATTTAAATAGAGAATGAATTTTCATGATGACTTTATTTAGTGAGTTTCAAGTGTATCCTCGCATATTTATCATCAGGATGTAAAGAAAGCAATGAAAACCACATTAACAGCATCTAATGAAGAGTGGAGTAATTCAGACTTTAGAATTCATCTAGCCATTATAAGGATTGGGTGAAATGGATAATTTGATTTATCTGTACATCAAAACTTATTAACGGATCACATTACATCCAAGTACACTTTTGAATCAAATTTCACGGTTGAAGTAACTAATTGTGAAGAGTGGATATCGTACAGTCACTACAACTACCAGCTCGGTCGGAACATATCCATCTTCTAATCGTAAGTGTATGGAATTTTGTAGCGCACAATAAATATGACATGTGGGAGGGAGTTGCCATTGTCTTTCCTAAAATATTCATAATAATTTAAAAAATTCGACTAATTCAAACTGAATTCAAAACTGAATTTGAGAACTGTTTTTAATGGGATGAAGTGAATTGTTGAATTTGTTACCTTTTTTAAGAAATCCACTTCCTTTGTCTTTTCTGAATTTTCTGCATTTTAATTACTAAGAGAATAGCTCATGGAAGTTAGGCTACTGTCTGCTAGATGTCACTATGAGTTCAGGATCAAGGAATCAAGTAATGTTTGATAAAAATATAAACATTTGATTTATTGAATATGAATAGTCACATAATTGTCATAGTTATATAGGACGATGTGAAGGTTGCAACTCCACAAACAACCTTGATAATTCCATAGAAAAATATTTGGTGACATATGTTTTTCTATAAACACTTTCATGAGAAAATTTCGACTTACTAGAGCTCCCCTACTTATTAGATCCTCCATGGTATGTTTGCCCAATTAATAGTGGCGTTTATTGAACATTGAACTAAGTGGATGCACATAGAACCACACTTCCAAGAAGCGCAGATTTTCTGAACTTGTTGAATATTGCCTCTTTGAAAATGAACCGGACAATTTGACAATAATAAATAAATGTCACCGAAAGTGTCGTATTCGATAAGTATGCTTATCGAACAAGTTTATTTTGGACTAATCGCACCTTTAAAAAAATTCTATAATAATTTTTTCCTACACTGTCAGCGGTTTTGAAATCATCTGATGGAACACTGTACCAGTACAAGACGTCATGATTAAACACCTTAGCGATTTGAGGTCTTTGTTTCGTTTACGAGCTTGACAACGGCAAAAAGAACCAATTATCAGAAATTGCTTGTAATTCAGCTTTGAGTCGTAATTTCCAAGAGTTCTCATCATCAATTTATTGGTTGAATATACAGAAAGATTATAGAAAAATATCAGAAGAAGCATTAAAGCATTTACCCCTATTTTCAACCACAACCCTATGGGAAAAGGCATTATCTGCTCTTCTATACAGGGTGTAACATAAGTACGTTGAAATATTCTAGTGACGTATTCCTGAGACAATTTTAAGCAAACAAGTCTATATAATTTTGTGTCCGGAAATGCTTCGTTTCGGGGATACAGGGTGTTGAAATTGAATTTTTTGTATAAACAACTTTTTCCTGTAATATGTTTATCAAAAAATCATTTATTTTCTAGATACAAATTGTTGAAATTTTTCAAAACTTGATTGGTTTTTTACAATTTCAGTTGTTTGTATCTTGAAAACGATCAAAAACTAGTCACTTCTAAAAATATAACCCTTTCCAATTAAAAAAATTCAATTTCAACACCCTGTATCTCTGAAACAACGCATTTCCGGGCATAAATTTGTATAGACTTGTTTCAAAAATACGTCACTTGAATATTTAATCGTATTTATGTTACACCCTGTATACTGAAAACCAATATAGCCCAATAGATTCCAAGTCGAATCTGACTTGTTACTTAGAAGTAACATCAAGCCGAATATCATTAATTTAGTTGCAAAAAGCAACACCAACTTTCACATTAACGTATATTTTAAAAAGGTTTTTCATTTGTTATGCTAGCATAACTGCTCCGTAATGTATTAGTTGCTTCTTACAAAGGGGGTCATTGAGGATTGTGCTACTATTCCTATAGGTCCGTGGTTGGAAAATGCTAGGAAAGGCTGATCTACAGCAAGCCAAATTCAACGTAGATAACCGTCTTGGGAGTATGATTTTCTACGTATATAAAATATATACAAAAAGACGGTTATTTCATAATATCATCCAAAGAAAGTATCTAAATTAACAATTCGTTCAGGCCACTCTCAAGTTTAATGGGGTGACACCACTCCCCTGGCTAATACCACGCTCCTGCCTTGTTGCGAGGAATGATACTCTGAAAGGAATTCAGTTTTCAATTATGGGATAATGTTGATGTTTAACATTACCTTGCACTACCGGTCACTGACTGTCTCCAAGTGTGTCCGTTCAAATAATTGAAAATAAATCGATTCCGGCAGTTGTCTCGCCAACAGCATATGCAGAAATTGCATCTGTGAATAATCCTGCACTGACACCTGTCGGGTCTAATCCAAGCCAGTGGCGTAGTTATTTGCTGTAGGTGTATCACCTGCACTGTAGGTTGAGACTGGCCTGAACAAATTGTTCTTGTGGATGAATTGGGGCATTCGGATATGCGGTTGGTTAGTTACTCGTTTACGGGCAGACGGGACGATGATAAATATGTTGTTTGTCGTTCGCTTCAGCCTTGATCGGGAAATGATACTCTGAAGGGAATTCAATTTTCAATTATGAAAAATCATCGATTTTTCATAATTGATAAAAGACACTACCTTGCACTGACGAGGGGCAGAATAGCCCGAAACCGGTTTGCAAGTGTGCCCATTCCAATGATTGAAAATCGATTCCGGCAGTTGTATTGTCTACAGTATAAGCAAGTATACGTAACTGGCTCATAGAAGAACGCAAATAATTTTTAATTAGTTTCAGTTTGCTAAAACTTCGCTCACAGCTTGCGGGTGTAGTAGGAAGCGTAAAGGGCAATACAAATACTAGAAAAAACATCCTGCAAATCATGCACATAGATCTCTTGCAAGAGATAGAAATAGTTGGCCTTTTCTAAATCACCAAATAAAAGTTGAGCTTGCTCTTAATAAACGTAGAGTTCCTGGCAGAATTCAACGTGCTTCAATCTTGCTCGTATTTTCGAGCCAGATCTGCTTTATTCTTTCGCAGTTCTTTGATTGACATTTTGAAATTATTAGTACCTACCATTTAGAAAAGCAAAATTCAGCATGGTAGTATAATCAAGCCCCTTTTTAATTTCTAATATGATTTGATCAAATATCATCATTATTTCTTTAGAAAATAGTTGAACAGGTTGGAGTGTTTGTAATTCGTTTTCACACATCTCTTCGGAATGTTTTTTACGTTTCGGAATTCGTTCGTTTTGCAAAATAGGCTCAACCAGTTCCTCTGGATTGATTTCGCCAAATAATTGAATTAAGAATGAATTTAAAATTCGTTATAGTAGTTAAGAGATGACTTTCCTCGTACTCAGCTTCTAGAGTATGAGAAGTTTGCTTTACTTCTTCTAAGGCGTTACTTCTGATAAATTATTTGATAGACCATCTACGGCAACATGTTCCGCCGACCATCTATTTCCTTTCAAATTTGTTTCAACATATTTTTCCCAATGTCCCACCTAGCAGTGGAGCTAACAAAAAAAGCAAGGTTCTTTTTGAGTAAGTCCAAATAGATTAATAGCTTCCTGGCATAATGAGGCAGAATGGACACCTACAAGATTTAAGGAGTGAGCCAAGCATGATACGAACTTGGCTAGTTCATTCCTTTCTACAACCTGGTTTGCACTTCTTTATAGACGCCGGCCATATTGGACCCATCATGCCCATGACATTAACTTGGCTAATCTCATGATAAATCATCAGCTGCCAATTTTGCTAAAATCTGTACTCTCTTGCCCTTCCAGCAACTTTCATGGAATGAACGATATTTTCTTTCATTTCACACACCTCGCCAGTTCTTTTCACATATCGAATTACCGGGCTCATTTGTTCTGTATGGGACACATCTGGAGTACAGTCAAACGTTACCGTATAGTATTTGGCTTCTTTGATGTCATTTAAAATGCTATTTCTTACTGTGTTTTTCATTGTGTCAATGATGGCAAAGTGTTCTAATAGAAACTTCAAAGTTGAATTATGTTTGGCGAGCAGGGAAATACAGTTCAAGAAGTTACCTTGACTAGGCTGAGGACAGTGTCAGATGAGATCGCTAAGAGTTTCGTGGGACCCGCGAGAAAAAAAGCAGTTTGTGGTTAGATACAATACAGCATCCAAAACAATACGCATGATCTGTCTTCATTTTTCTTTCTTTGTGTGAGTGCCTACTGTAGGTCAAAGTCAAAGTAAATGATGAGTTATCTATTCGTCTGTAAAGTGAGAATTTGGTCACCTTCTGAACTTGCCGGCTAGGGCATAGGCCCCGGTATACCCCCCCTCTAGATTCTGGATTGCAAACACCAGAACGGCAATATTTTTCTTGACGCGTGTTTCACAAACCAAGTAGGCGTGCTTTGGAGATAAACTAGATAGTCTATACCAGAGGTTCCAGTTATTTCTTTCATTGTTTAGTTATAATTATTTATTTTGGTTGATATTGAAATTTCTGATTTTCACTTTAGTGATTTTCAACTAAATACTGGATTCTTTAAAACGAAAAAAAATTACAGGAGACTAAAAACTAGGACTTTTTCAAAGTGCCATTCATTTTCAGGTTGTGAAGACCACCAGTTCGATAGTGACGAATATTGGGAGTGTTCTCTGAGAGTTATTATCGGTAGTCTTTATCATCAAGTTGCTACTTGCAAAATGGGACCCAAAAATAATGGCGAAGCAGTTGTTGATCCTCGTTTGAGAGTTCATGGAATGAAAAAATTACGTGTTGCAGATACAAGTGTGGCTCCAATGACTTTTACGGCTCATACAGCAGCTCCAGCCTACGCAATTGGGGAGAAAGCTGCAGATTTAATAAAATCTGATTGGCTTGAAAACTGAACGGTGCACATATGAGTTTTACTATATCAATTTTTTTGGGAGGGTACTATTTTAAATGTTTATAATGAATAAAGAAAATTTATTTTCAAAGTACCTGTAAACGAAGTACCTGAATTTTAAGTAGCTGATATTTTACCTGAGTTTCTAACGAATTAAATTACCTGCACTTATGTTCCATTTTAACATTTGAAAAAATATATATTCATCTATATTTAAATATACTCTATTCGGGCTGATACAAAACGCGTGTAGTAGTTTCAAAAAAACTTAATATATATCGTTAATACAGTTCTCACGCAAACATACGTAAATATCTTCACTTTTACTCTGTTGGTAACTTTTTTGAAAAACTAAAATGTTGACTAGCTAACTTCAGGGACTACCTCCCCGATCACAAGAGAGGAAGATTGTGCCGATAACGACCGTTGTCAAAGATGGCACGTGGATGTGGTTGGAGTGGATTCCAAAACTTAGATACTTTTTGAAAATCTAGAGTCGAGTTCGAATAAATATTCAAGTGAAAGATATTTTGAGAGGACTGGTGGCCCTCTACGCCAGTAACCAGGCTGAATTACGACGGATTCGACGAATTCGTCAGTGCTATGATAGATGTGTTATTTGTGAAAGTCATATTGAGAGGACTGACGGTCCCCTAGTGAAATAATTAAGTGTTTTTATAGAAGAAAAAGTGAATGAGAAAACTCAGGATGGCAGCAGGTGGCAGGTTTACAGCAGCTGTAAACAGCAGCATTGCCTCTTGCAAGGCAACGGTTCTGTGAATTGAAGGAGAAGAATAAGGAGCTAACTTCAGGGTGTCGGTTTTTCGTGACAGTGTGGGGCGAGCATCGTGAAAATCCACTCTCATTATTTTTCCCCAACGCGCCAAAGGATCGACAACGCCGCTTCGTCTGAAATATTTCAGGCGTGTAGGTCATATTGATTCATGCATACTGTGGAATTTTCAGGTTGATCCGTTGAATAGTTTGTCAGAAACGGCTAATTAACGCTCATCATGAAAAGCCCTGTATGGGTGAATTCAGTATTTTGATTGGGTTGGCAAATTCAAACTGGAAGGAAGGCAACTGGAGAGGCAATCAGAAATTATTTCAATTCATTTTCCATTGTATTTTGTTCGTTGCAAACTTTCATTGAACCGAAATAGAATTGAAGAATCTAAACTTTCACGGCCGGAGATAAACTGTATGTAGGCTATTTTCCGGTTTTTCCGGCCGTGGTCTACTGGTTTTTATGCCTGACGTTTCGTGTACTACTGCGGTAGATATTTTCAAATGCGATGTGGTAACGGTCGCAACATCCGAGTTGGGGCTCTGGTTCTTGTTCCTGTTGTATCCAATGCATTAACTACTATTTCCGTAATGGGTCATCTATTTATATCGTTCTTAACTGTATTACCTGTTCGTGTACCTCTGGGGGCAGGTGGCTATCTTTTATTAATATTCATTGTCTCTTCGTTTCTATTGAAATTATTCCTATGCTTTTGAATCTATATTGCCTATATATATTCTTAGGAATTAATTTTGGGGACTGTCAAGTATTATTTTGTCTTCGAATGAGATAATGTGGGTACCTTCTTTATTGAAAGCATTTTCGGCCGCAGCTACACGGAATCTGGTATACTTAGCGTTGCTAGGGGTTCTCTAGGGTTCTTCGCTGACCTGAGACTTTGCCTGATAGCTTTTGTTGACCTAAATATTGGTTTCACGTCGTGTTTCACTAAGATTCCATTAATCCGGTCTGTGACTTTCTCGACATAGGGAAGGAAAGCTTTTTCCTTGACTGGCCTAGCTGCGGTTGCTTTGGTTTTCTCTCTCCTGGGTCGTATGGCCGATGGAATTCCCTTTCACTGTACCTATTTGTACCGTTTGAATGCATTTAGTTCTCCAGGCAGACCCTCAGCTTCACAGATTCATCGTGCTCTCTCAACCATCGTTTTAATAACCCGTCTCTTTTGTTGTACCTGGTGGTTCAAGTTTTTGTTCAGGTATCTGTCTGTGTCTACATCGGAACCAAGAAACAAAGTAAAGGGACTCGTCTTTCCGAATACAAGAGAAACTGTCGCCTCGGACAAACCGACAAGTCTGCAGCAGTAGACGAAACATCCGGCATCAAAACCTGCAAACAACAGCCAGGAAACGCGGAAAATAGCATTCATACTGAAATTGAATATTTATTTTTTACTTCTTTCAGCCTATTATTATATGATGCCGAAACAGCCCGAAAAATTAACTGGCAATGATAGTGTTATTCAACGCACTATTCGATGTTGGTTTGCGAAATTTTGTCCCGCAGATTTCAGAAATGAACCCTGTAGTGGTCGACCTGAAGTAATCCGGAAGGAGGATTTGAGGAACCTGGTGGAGGCTGACTCATCACAAACGGTGTGTGAGATGACGGAAGAACTGGGCTTCAGCTCTCATGTATCTAAAAGATCAAAAAACTTGATAAGTGGGTGCCCCACGATCTGAACGATCGACAGAAATTGTCACGTTTCAAGGTCTGTTCTTCGTTGCTTTTGCGCAACCAAAACGATCCTTCTTTGGATCCCCTACGACAACAGGAGATATTCAGGACAGTGGTTAGACACCGATGAGCCACCCAGGCATTTCCCAAAGGTAAAAACCCACCGAAAAATCATTATTATTTTATGGTAGTCGGCGGCTGGTGTGATTGACTGTAAGTTCTATAAACGGACCAAACAATTTCAGCAGAGTCCTATTGTGAGGAGGTCGACGGAATGTACCAAGAATTGCGTCAGCAGCAGCTAGCACTGGTCAACAAAAGAGTTTTGATCCTGCTCCACGACAAAGCACGTCCGTATGTTCTACAAATTATCGTCCAAAAATTAAACGAATTGATCGTCGAATTTCTGCCTAACCCATCATACTCTCCAGACCTTTCCCCTTCACTTCAATAAAGCAGTTCAATAAATTTCTCACTGGTAGCCAATCAGGACCAAGCAAAATCGGCTTTCGTCAACTTCATCGAATCCCGAGCACAATTATTGTCAGGCGGAAATAAGTCGACTTATGTTACGTTGATAAAAGTGAGCTGATTCAAATGGTGCTTACTTCGATTCAATTGAATATGTATTCACTGAGATATTACAGTTTGATAAAAACCCATAAAAATGGACAAAACTTTTAAAACAACCAATATGATTATAACATTGTTGTCTTAAATCGAATAATTCTGTTTTCTGTATCATAAATGTATGATTTCTCATATATCACTTTCTGAATCTTTCCTAGCGATTTTGCGTTATTTTAATTGGCAGATATCCATGCAATAACACCATAAGTCGAATGACCTTCCACCAAGGAACGGTCTACGGTTTTGAGATAAGTATTTTGTTTCGAGTATATACCGAAAAAACTCAAATTTACATAAAAAACGCACTTTTTTGTTGAATCATCAATATAATAGAAATTTAATCATCTATATGTATTTCTAACTATTTAACATTTTCGGTGATGAAAACCAAAAAAAATGTATTGGATGTGGTTGAAAGTCATCAATCAATCAATCAATCAATTCGTAAATCAATGAAGAGATATTTTAAAGAATTCAGTTTGGCAATGGAATTTCCAAGAGATATGTTCTTCCAGAGATACTCCCAAAAACCTAACCTATGCATGTGTATTCTGCATAGTAATTTCACCAATTTTGACTTCAAAATCATCAATATTTTTTTGAGGATAGTGAGTTTTTTGAATGTTGGAATATAGGTTCGTACTATTGAAAAAAAAAATAAATTGCATGAATTGTTCCAATACATTTCGTTCATAGGTATTCATTATTCGTAGAGGACAGAAACAATGAAAGTCGTCTGCATACGCAGTATAATCGGCTTTACCAATTATCGCATCAAGATGATTCACATACGAGATGAAAAGAATTGGACTCAAGATCGATCCCTGTGGAACGCCCATTTCGATTTCCTTAGTATCCATGCATATGGTTTTAATTTGGCTGGAGCGTTACTATTTGTTTTCTCTTTATTAAAAAGGATGTAATCCAGTCTAATGGTGTACCTCTAATACCATAACTCTCCAATATCTTCATCAATTTCTGATGGTTCACACAATCAAAGGCCCTACTCAAGTCGCAGAATATTGCAACAGGGCATTCATCATCATGAGAAATGAGAAATGAAAATTTTTATTCTTTTTACCACTTTTATAAAAGTGGTAAACCAATTTATCATTACAACAAAATCCTTTTCAACTCTAGTTTCAGGCAGATCCGATGAGTGTTTTTTGTAAATAACAACCGTGTGTACTGAAAACTCAATATCTTCCCTGAGTTGTGATTGATAGATGTCAGTTGAATAAATATTGAGTAGAACATGCCTCTCATATTCGAAGAATTCGATCTACAAAAACGATGATTTGTCAATTACAAATAATGATAGATGCAGAAAGAGCAGACTACGAACTTTACCCCTGAATATTTTGCTTCAAAAGTATTCCATTCACCCAGACTATTGCTATATCGAAATATGCCTATGTTGATCAATACTCTCAGTGCAAAGTTTTGACTTCTAATCTTCATTGAATAACACCCAGCAATCTAATATTTCGTTAATGTGAGTTATTTGAATGGATATTACTGACGAATTACGTGGATAGAAATAATGAATTTTTTGCTTCAATCTATATATGAAGAATGTGTGCAAATATGAGCTGTTGAAAGCGTGGCCATTTCTCACCTGGAATTGTTAGCAGATACCAAAAGCAAGGTTATCCAAAACTGTTACGTGTAGTCGGTAGTCGGATCCATGTCAGTTTATTACCGATCTAAATCGATAACAGTCTCATCTTGGATAACATATGATAAAAAATTGAAACGTTTTGTTTGAAACCAAGTAAAAACATACAAATAACTGGTTTCACGTTCCTAGGGATCTACTGGTAAACTCTACAGACATTTTTTCACGTGGCTGTTCACCCAGAGAACTGATCGCTATATCCAATAGTGAATAAACATTGAATACACGTTTTCATTTACCAGCTCCAAGAAAGGTCAACAATGAATTTGATGATCAACCTCATCAATTCATTACATTGCAC